TCATTAATATCATCACCATCATGCATCATCATCACCATCACCAACATCGTTATCGTGATCATCACCATCATTCTCATCATCAACATAATCATCATTATCTTCATTAATACATCCTTATTCTAGGATCAATAAGGATGGAAGCAGTTAAGAAAGCATGTAAATATCAATGTGACAAGAAATGCTACGACCCTCACCAACAACAATGCTGCAAAAAGAAAATCGTTAAACGTCCCTGGCGCTGCTGTGCACATAGCTGTGGTAACGTCTGCTACGACCAAAAAACCAAGCAATGTTGCAACGGCAAGGTCATTCTGAAATCACAAAACTGTGCTGGCTGTGTTAATAAATGTGGAAGAGCGTGTTTTGACCCAAGAAGAGAAAAGTGCTGTAATGGTAAAGTTGTTTTGAAGAATGCACCTTGTTGCAAACCTGGGTTCCATCTATGTGGTCAGCGGTGCTTCGACCCTAGGCATCATAAGTGTTGCCATGGTATTGTCACTCCAAAGAATTCCGCTGTATGTGGCCAAAGGTGCTATGACCCAAAAGTCCATCATTGCTGTAACGGCAGAGTCGTGTCGAGACGAGTACCCTGTTGTTACCGTTGTGGTGGAGCTTGCATTGACCCGAGGTTGCATAAATGCTGCCATCAAAGGCGCATCAGCAGGAACGTTCCTTGCGTCTCTGGACAAGGTAAGTCAACTGGGACAAAATTCTAGCTATCGGAATAAAAAGTCAATAATGGCAATATTAAAATAACTGCTATTAATCTCGCGCTTTGATTGGTTGTTAGCGCGTGCTTTATGAGCACTACGCATCGTGGATGCACACTATTTTGACAGTGTGATGACGCAATTTATCGTCAATAATAAGAGGACAGTCACATAAAAAACTGACGTCTATTGGTTAACATTATCATTGAAGACCCTAAAGACAGAGCACTAATGGAATGAGGGGGTATAAAAGAGACCAGCCAAACTACCTAATATCTTAGACTAAGGTCAAACGCCGAACTTCACATGAGCCGAACCTAATGACATCAAAGAAGACCGCCTTGCTATCCATTGTTTCAATTAGGTTCGGCTCATGTGAAGTTCGGCGTTTGACCTGAGCCTCAATCAAACTCTAATGATGGTAAATGATGCTTTTTTCAGGAACGCCTCTGACGATAACCCAAGGACTAAGTGGTGAGCAAGAAGCTTTACCTTATCGTAAATGGTTCAAAACTTTCTATTTTAGTAATTAAATTAATGATTTTTAGCTAGAAGAGTTGGTTGTTACAGAGACACGTGGAATCGTGCCATTCCATCATTGGAAGGTAAAAGTTACATCCTGATTGGAAACTACCAGAAGAGACCATTTGCCATCGAGAAGTGCGCGTTAGCTGCTGCTAAGCTTGGATGGAGTGTTTTTGCAGTACAACACCAAGGATGGTGCGCTTCTAGTCCAACTGCAGGACRTWCCTACAAGAAGTATGGACGATACAACACTTGTAGAAATGGCAAGGGAGGACCGTGGGGGAATGATGTGTATGTACTGGAAGGTGAGTTATTAGAAGATACACCAGTCTGTAGAATCACTTGTAACATAACCCAAACATCACCAGCACCTGACCTTTACAAACTCATCTTCTAATATTTAATTATTACAGGCAATGCTGCTAAGAAGACGACTTCAGGTGACATCTGTGTCTTTCCATTCATCTATAAAGGAAAGCTCTACAATGGCTGTACAAGAGTAGACCACAATCGTCCATGGTGTGCTATAACACCTAACTATGATGTTGACAGGCTTCGAGGATACTGTTAGAATACTAGTGTCTCCAATGGATTTCTTTTACATTCATAAGCTAAAAATATTCTGGAAATCAGAGTTGGGAAATCTTGTAAGAACAATTGAATGGCAAGTGTGTATTTATATGCACAATAATGAAGCAGCTTGTTAAAAATTTAATAAAAGCTGGTATATTTTCAATAAAGATGAACTCATGTAGATGGGCTCATTTTACAGAAGCTTCTGGCAATATGCACATGGTGAGACTGACAATATCCTGTTTTCTAATATAAATGATAAATCTAAGAAATGCATGCTTTCACAGAATATATAGTGAGATCTTACTGCCATGACATACAAGAATGGAGAAGAAAAAAGCATCTTCTATAAGGTTAAGAACAGGTTTACCACAAGCAAAATATACATTTTGATAGAATTTGTACAATATTTTACAAGGATTGCGATAACAATAGAAATTGTGTTGCAAAGACTGCATTAACCCTCCTCCTCCTCCTCTTCTTCTTCCTTGACAACTGGAACACCTTTAAAAAAAAGAAGAGAGAGATTTAGAGGGCCAAATTTAGAAATTAGTTGGATAGGAAGCTATTACAATAAAGAGTGTTTTTGATGGAGGGATGGTTAGCCACGCCCTTTGCCGCCTTTTTGAGGAAATTTTTCAAAAAAAAATTACGCAAAAAGGGGAAGAAAGAATTTATACTGTTATAGGCGGTCATTTTGCATTCCATAAAATCTATGGATTTTGAGTAGAGTGCAAACAATAAAACCAAGAAACTTTAGTAATACTAAATAGCACAATGTCATGCAAATTCCAATGTTTTCTATTGTTTAATTAGCACTATTTAGTAATTAGTGTTTCACGGATTAATTGTTTGCACTCTATCACACGCAGAAAGAAATCAAGTAACATAGGTAAAAATTGGTTTGTTATTATAATGAACACCCTGTATGATATAGTATAATGTAACATTTGATTTTACCATCGAGTTTCTTGAGCTTGGGAAGCCTTTTTGTAGCTTGGTCTCTCCAGTCCCCTTCTGTAGAATGTTTCTCCTCTAGTGGATTTCCTGGTTAAAAAATTTTTTTATTGTCTATCCATCCAACTATCCATTTGTCGTACAATCCATCTATACTTGAATCTATACCCAATCTATTGCATGGTTTCATTTGACGTCATTTCCTGTCTCATGCGAAATGTTCATCAGCTAAATCACAAATTCTCAATAGAATTCTTTCTGGTTGACAGCACATGGTGGTCAGTGTTTGATCACCATTTGGAGCAGATAGTGAGATTCCAAGAATTTTATCAGCTGATTGAACCCCAGCAATACCCTATTATCTATTCCCTTATCCTTCCATCCATCCATTCATTTATTCCTTAACTCATGCATCAAACATGTATGGCTACTGAAAAGGAACCAGAAGTTCCTTTATTAATAGTAATCTATCTTAACCCACCCCTGGCCTTCTCACAAGCAGTATTAATGATCAGATATAGTCCCTTTCACAGTTCCCTGTGCCATCTTGAAAGGTAGCTTTACCTTTGCAGTAAGATGAATGGTGAGATTGCAATGATAGAGACATTTTTAACGCCTTGAACAATATATTATTCACATGTCTCATCAATGCAAGCTCACTGTTCGTCTCACTTCAATGCCAAGGTACAGCTAGGTACAGCAACCTTTCAAGATGGTGCAGGGAACTGTGAAAGGGACTATTGCATAACCCATGCGCAAATGTGTGTTAACATCTATAATGTAATGTTTATTACTGAAATCCCACCATGCTTATGATTATGAGCATAATTCTAAGAAGTGAATATTCCAGCTTATCGTATGGACAGTACTTACCAACAAATAAAAGGTCTTCTAATAAAGGTAATTCTGCCTTTAAAATGATAAAAGTATTGTCTGATTAGTTAATAAGCCTTAGCCTGTTTGTCACATATAATATCAGTGAGCTACCTAGAGGTAAGTGCTGGTGTTGTGCACTGCTAATGATCACAATGAAAATTCCACACGTGCTATTGAGAATTATAAAATAACTGTTATGAATGTCCTGTTCTGATTGGTTTGGAGCGTGTGCTTTATGAGAGCACATTGCATGTGTGTGCACTTTCCGTTGCGTCATTCCTATCTAAAATAAGGGTAATTGTAATTTGTATAAAAGAAATAAAAAGCTTGCTTGCTATGCTGTGTGCAGTTATGAAGCACTTGGGGATTGGCAAAACGCTCAAGAAGTGTCCAGAAGCACTCCGCTATGTGTCGTGTTTCTTTCCCTTAACACTTCTCTTGTGTTTCTACCAACCCCCACGTGTTTTATGACTGCACACAACACATGCACACGTTTTCTATTTCTTCACTAGGACTTACTAGTTTTTGGAACTCATCCCAGACTTTGACTTGATTGTTTGACATGTACAGAACCTAAATACAAAAGAAACAAAGCAGAATGAAGATACCAACAGCAGGTCTTTTGTTGTCTAGAAGACAATTAAATACCTTGAGTTTCTTTAGGACACCAATGCCTTTGAGCTTTTCAATGTTATTGTAAGAGATCCATAACTGTTCTAGGGTGTCTGCCACAGCCTCCTGTAGTTAATTCACCAATCAAGTGATTAATAAGCAAAGGTTTTACATGATTATAGCCCCGGGGGGGGGGGGCTACTCTTGCCAGTTTAGGGTAGGGATGTGCCGCTGAGCGCTCTGAACCCTGACCCTGTTCCAGAGTAAAATCGCTGAAATTCATACCCTGTTCCAGAGCAAGATCGCTGAAAACCATGCTCTGTTCCAGTATTGCAAAAATAGATACCCTGTTCCAGAGAGGAGAGAGCGTGATTTCATATACCCTGTTCAAGAGCGAGCGTGATTTCATATACCCTGTTCAAGAGTAGAATCGCTGAAAACCATACCCTGTTTGGCGGCACGTACCCATATAACGAATATAGGGGAGTACCCCCGCCCCAGATTATAGCAGACTTCACTGCCATTATCTAACATAGCTAAAGTATAATGAGCACTCTGATTGATTACTTAATGTGCACAAGCATTCATCAATAACTCCATGGACTGCACACCTGATGTGAGACAAGCACATGCTATGTACTGAAGATTTCGTTTATAGAATGAAAGTAGAATTTTGATCAATTAACGAAGAATTTTTTGTTAATCAGAGTATTATGATCATCCGGGTGGATGTAGTCCTGAGAAGGACTGTTTGATGTGATTGTAGTTTCAACAACCTGAGTGAAGTCATTTTCAGAGTCAAGTGAAGAATAAAGTCAGATTGGTCATATTTATGACAGTATATTGTTATTCATATTTATAGCAGTATAAATATGATCAATCTGACTTTATTCTTCACTTGACTCTGAAGATGACTTCCGCTCAGGTTGTCGAAATGTCAGCTGGATGATCATAACACTTCGATTAACATTCATTCACAAGGGTTCAGACTGTTTTATACAATACAAAAAGAATTTTTTGGCTTTGCTATGTTACAAAAGAAATGGTTCATGCTTAATGTGCATCCATTAAGTTTTTGTTACTCCAGCTTCTTGGGCAAATGCTAAGTATGAACCATTTCTTTGTTATTGTTTATTCATTACTTACCAAACCATTTAGATTCTTGATGTTATTTCTACCCAAGGAAAGAATTTTGAGGTTTTCTGGATCAATAAATAAGATAATCTCAATTACAATGGTATTCACATCAAGAGTATGACCAAAAGCTTTTTTGACATACTTAGTCCATTGAGGTTTGCAATCTTTTCAATGCAGTTGGTAGATAATGACAGTTTCCTAACATGAAAGAAAAACAGATAGTATTACATTATTTTGCAATCTTTTCAATGCAGTTGGTAGATAATGACAGTTTCCTAACATGAAAGAAAAACAGATAGTATAACATCATTGCAAGAAATTCCTGAAATATTGGCCTCTCACGTCTAGGGTCTCAGGTTTGATTCCTGGACTCAGCATCACATGTGAGTTTGTGAGGTCTCTCTCTTAATTTGAGGGTTTCTCTGTACGTTTTCTGGTTTTCTTCCCCCCACAAAACCTAACAAGCTAAATCCTAATTCAATCTGTGAATAAGATGTATCTTGACTTTGATCATAACAGATATAATATTAGACTTAGATTTGAAGGGCTTTATCGAGTCAACAAAACCCTATGCAAGATGCTTGGTGTGATGATTTAGCAATTTTGTACTTCTTCTGCACTCTCTCTGTAATTCTGTATAGTACTAAGCACACTTGTACAATGTACAACTGGGCCAAGGGACATAGCACAGTATCATTCTCATCTTGGTACCTTTCCCAACCCCCCCCCCCCCCCCAGAATTTTAGTCAATTCAAATCCCCTTCCCTGTATCACACTAAGGGCTTATTTGAAGACTCTTATAGTGCACATAGATATTTATATTCTCAAGGCATGATCATACAGAGCATTTTTTTCTGCAACTTGTCTCGCAAAAGCATTGCGACACAACTTGCAAGATCATTTACACAGTACAAAGGAGACACATTTATTGCTAAAAGTAGGAACAAATTCTACTTTTCACAAAGATTGCTGCAACTTGTCTTTTCCACTTTTTTTTCAAATTGTGCTGTAGGTTACATGCTGCAATACTCCATGCTTTGTGTTGTAACGCTGTTGAAAATTGCTTTATGTGATTGTGCCTTTAATAATTTCTAAATCATACTCGCAGTTTGTTAGCGTTGACAGAGATGCGTCCATTTTTTCAATGGGAGGGTACTGTGCATACAGCTTTATTTCTTTAGCTTCTCCTGCTTTGGTCTCGTTGTCCTTCTCCTAAAAACAAAAAGAAGTTCTTTAAAAAACTTCTTTTTATAACTCCAAAACTTCTTTCTATAACTCTTAAGGGTAATGCTTAAATGACAAACGAATAATTAAATATAAATACTTTGGAGGCCGAACCACAAAATCAACTCACCCATTTGGAGAGGGCATCTTTGATAGTCGTCCCTTTTGACTGGAAAAAGGACAGTAAATAACTCAGAAGGTAAGTTAAAATAACCGTGAAAAGTTCAGTTAGGATATATCACGGAGAATAAGTACCTTACCATTTTAAAACAGAGATTTTAGAGGCTTTTTATCTTGTTTTTGTCAAATTATTTTCCGACTTTCATGTTGTGTTAAAACAAGATGGCGTCCATCACCATGGAGATGTACTGAAGGCTTATGGGAGAGGTCCTGGAGGTCTTCGTTGATTGGTTGGCTGTAGATGATCTTGGCTTAAATAACCAATCAGCGACGCTCCTTTTATTACTTGTTTTCAAGATGGCGGACGAAGTCAAAGTGAGAGAGAAAAATTTAACACGTGTATTTGTGGTCTTTTCTTCGTGTATTTTCGTAGTTTAAAATGTCGAGACGCAAGAAAAGGAATTCATATGAGAGACTATGGTGTCGAAGAGGCAAAAGACTTGTCCGATTAGGAAATAACGATGCAGAAAATGAACCATGCAGAAAAATGCGTAAGCTTAAAACATCGACGTCTGCAAAGAAACAAGCGAATTTACACACTCTTTCTATTTTAGATTTACCAGACGAATGTATTGTTTTGATACTGGAGAAACTCAACTTTAAACCACACGAGATGTGGCAAATAATGAAAGTTTGTAAGAAATTCTACGATGTTTCATTCAACCCTCGATTGTGGCGTGTTGCAGACTTCAGATTTGATACGTATCTCTTTGCACGCTGCTTTCACGTACTGGATATGAGTCAAGACATACCTCAATATTTAACAGACCTGGAGCGTAGGAAAATGTTTGCCAACTTCCTTATCAAACGAAAGGCCATGTTGTCTCATCTACGTATTACTTTTGACATCGACAAAGAAATGGAAACGTTTTGTAATTTATTGGAAAATTGTTCACTAAGGAACTTGAACAATGTTGACATTAGGTGGACGGCTTATTGGCATTACTTATCACCAGTTCAAAGGGAACAACAATCACAATGTTTCAAGGAAGTTCTAGAGAAACTCTCAACCCTTAGTCCAGAGGTTTCTTTCTTGAAATGTCAACTCGTGGGCTCTCTTGACATGGCAGAAGTCCTGGGAAAATTTGAAAACATTCAATCCTTAAACCTCGTCTTCATAGGAAGTGACGTTAAGGTCATTGATGGAGGAGTCTTAGAGTTAATCTTGTCTTCCTTACATAAACTCAAGGAGTTCAAGATTAAAGTCAGACAAATGAAGAATGAAAGCTTCAAAGGTTACTCACTGAAGTCAGATTCTCTTGAACACCTTGAATTTTCTTGGTCTAAAGGTTTACGAATAAGAGAATTACACTTACCACGTCTACACACATTTATGGCAATCAATGTATTTGAGTTTTACCAGGGAAGGAATTGCCCATGTTTGTTTGAACTGATCAGCAATGGCTGTCCAGAACTTACAAGAATAAATTTCAAAGACTCAAAGATTGCAGGTCTTGATAACTTTGGTCTTGATGAGGATGATAAGAGAGAAATGCACATTTGTAAATGCGATATACATGCCCCATGGCGTATATGGGAGTGAAATTGGAGACTGACAAATCTTGTATCAAGGTACTTGCAGCATGTATAGATGTTTAGAAATCTGGGCAGTCTAGGTCTTTTACTACCATGATTGGCTGCTATTCAAAAACCCAGATTCGCCGGTGTAGTTTTTTAAAATTTTGAATGGATGATCACATGGTGCCATGTGTATTCCCACAAGAATAAAAATTTTTGTTTAACCCCACATATACATTTCCTGAAGTGCTTGAATTTTTAGGAAACAGAGGGAAAAACTATTGTTCCAGTCAACATAGCTTACTGGTGGGAAGGGCCAATTCTCTGTAACTCAGTTATCTTCATTCATGTAGAATATTCATGTGCTCCAGGGAAAGTCCACAGAACTATTCATATTGTTGAAGTTGTCCAAGGAGTTGGCATATTAATCATTGTATAATGAAGTACATATCTGTATAGACCCCATTACAAAATTAGAGACCTTACACTTCGACAAACATCCACCAGGCAACATCAGCCGGTGCTTTTTGATGATCTAGAGAGAACAGCAATGGCAAGCATAACACCTTGTGCATGGAAACTGTTTAGTGAAAGCATGTTAGTGTCATCGTCCTAGCCCCACAGTCCTGGTTTTGCTGCCCACATGCGTAAGGTCTCTGTTATCTTGGATGAAAGGTTAGGGGAATGAGAAATAAATGGCACAAATTCCAACAAGAAAAAATGTCATATTTTTTTTGCTACCCACTTTCAGAATAGTTTAGAGAGAGGTCTATAGAACAGAGCATGGAAGTGATGTAGGTAACACATACACCTTTTGCCGTTCATTAACAGAAAATGTACATTCATTTGTGCCAATAGTTGTATCAATAACGTGTAATGTACTTTCATCAACACCACGAGTAACATCATTAGCGCGAATCAGCTTTCGATAACGATATTTGAATATGCGTGTACATTCATAGGCATCAATGGACAATCAATAGCTCGTTTGTACATTCATATGCGCGGAATGTATTTTCTTGTGCGCGAAATTCAACTTCAATAACACCAAATGACAGACAATTGCATTTATGGACAATCATTTACCCAAAAGTGAAAATTCATTAGTGCTATTAGCATAATCATTGACGATCTATAACGCGCTTGGACAATCATGAGGGTCAACGTTATATTCTATAGCGTGGTTCGACAAACATTTGCATGATTCGAATGAACAATAAGAGAAATAAAACAATCATTAGCGATTTTTTTTAAAAACTATTTTAGCCTTCAATTTCTTCGCCATTTATACATCGTGGCAAATACGTTTGCATATATCTGAACCACTGATCACATTTAGCGATAGTGATGGTTGCCACATTTCTCTGGAACCCTTCCATTAGCAACTGCTTTCTGTAGAGACCTAGAGCAATCCCTTGTCGTCTTGCCTCAGCCCGATMGTTCGTATGTTGTTGGATCTCTGGACGGCTGAGGTCGGCTTTGATTGCTGCCTTAAGTGAGCTATTAGAGAGTTTTAGATTTACGTTCACGGCAAACGTGAAACGTCAGTTGACCAGTAAAAATATTCCTCAAATGACTGAAAAAGAATCGCAAAAAAGTCCAAGTAGTAGAAAAACAAAAGAGTATTTGCGCTTGGTGAGAAGGTTTGTAAAAAGTAAAGTAAAATACAGGAAAACGATGAAAACGTGGTCACGTTTGCCGTTTGCGGGGAGAAAAAAAAGTCAATCTAAAACTCTCTAATTGCTATTCTTCTACGCAGCCGCTATTATGGAGGCAGTTTCCGCTAATGATTGTTTTATTTCTCTTATTGTT